AAAAAAAAAAAAAAAGAAGGGTGGGGGTTCTCTGCAGTCTGGCTACAGCACATGTGAGCAAGTACAAGTAGAGAGTCACAGTTTATCAGGAAATGGGGGGTGGGAGCCTATTTTGCCAGAGGGGTCTGAAGAATGATGAGTCACAGAATGTCTGAAACAGCACATCGGTGCTCTGCAAAGAGTGTGAGAAAGCAAATACCACAGAACGGAGAGGAAACATAAACCTGTAGCTTTTAATAGAGATCAACTGAAGGCACTGCATTAATATTTTTAAGGGATTGTGAGGGGTGGTAGAATAATGCTGCATTGTAACTCTAAAATTAAAAAGAATATGAGGTAAATATTTACACCCACTTTACCTATATGAGCACATTAGAAAAATTTTAAAACCTAGTTACCAGCAAGCAAGAGTCCAAATATTACTGAGGTTTTTGATCATAAAATTTCACTTTGACAAGGTGCTGCCCGCTCTCTTCTAGACATTAGAGGTGCAATTTCTCACTTTTCCCCTTCAATACTTATATCACAAATAACTACTCATGCTGCAGCTAACATAGTAACATTAAAGCCCACTTCAACTAAACTAGACAAAATTAGATATAATAATATCATAATAATCTACACTGAAACAAAGTGTCATTTATAATCACTCTATCACTTTTCGATTTTTGAAACAAAACATTTTCAGTGTGACTTTGTTTTATAACTACACTTTAACAACCGAGTACTCAGCAATACCCTCATCCACCTAAAGTATTACAAACATTTGACTACATAGCTTAAAAACTTACTGCCTCTCTGGCTAAACTGACACCACGATGGTTCAACAGGCTGACACTTTCAACTTTTAGTACGAAATAAGTAGATAGACAAATGTTAAGAATCCATTAAATATTTACAATTAGGTGTCTAAATGCCTACATTGTCAAGCTCTACTTTACACCCATTCTTTAATTCTGCTCAAGTGTAGTGACCCAATTAGCCTTTTTGACACTGTAGGAGTAACATATGGTTTAATTATCAATGAAACATTTTTAAAACATGTAATTTCAAACTGGCAGTTACAGTAGAATGAAATGGGAACTTGGTTTAAATATAGAGTTCCAGTTTTTCGTACACTACGTGGTACTGCATTATTCCCAACACTGGTGATCACATGCCTGTCACATTTTAAGTCATCATACTATTCAAAGAGTTTCATAATCCCACAAATTTTACTATTCTTGTAAGTCTGACACACCAGATGATGCTGTACAGTAATTTCTCCTCCTTCACTTCTTTGCTCTGATGTCTCTTTGAAAGGACTTTCCACAGCCCAATTACTCTTAAAAATATACAAAATCTTGGTTTAGAAGTTTCACTATAAAAATAAATAAATAATAATTTAAAAATGCTGCCCCACTTCTACAATAATTATCATACTATGGGTGTAATATGTAATTCCACAGAAGACAACTTTGTTGTTTCCAACCATTTAGTTACATTTTCATTTAAACTCGTGCAAACCTAAAACAATTCTTTACTTACTGCTGCAGAATATGTATGACAAAATAACAATCCAGGGAAAATGCTATTAGTAAGCCATGGGCCTAGAAAAAAATACATTTCAAGAAAAATGGAAAGGGGTGCCTACACTCTGTAGATCCCTCATCTGAAAGTGTTTTTTTTTTCCCCAAATAAACTTAAGCAAGATCACCTGTTTACTAATGTGAATACGTAGTTGTATGAATAAAGGCTACACTGCAAAAGATACAAAGGCCTCACATTATGTAACATATTAAACCGATCTCTACTTGGAAGGAAGTAGAAGGGCGGGTTCAGACGCGCAATTATATGGAGCCTCTCTTTTCCTTCAATATGCTTTATTTCTCGAGAAGTCCTGTTCGTTTTTAAAAACTAAATAAATATAATACTGAAACAGCCCCTACCCGTCATGATTGGGCCCATTTTTTCGGTTACTCGTTAGAGGTTAGACTACGCAGTTTCCCCTCCCCGGTTCACTCTATTTGAATTAAATCAGGGTCCATGGCACACAGAAACTGCTGCGACGCTAGTAAGAGCAGAAAGGAAGGGGCAAAGGGAGGCAGCGAGCAGTGGCTCCAAGTCTTTTACATCAAACTACAATGAACCGAATACCCTAACATTACAGCATGCCACGGGAATCACCACAACTACCAATTCCTCGTATTTTGTGTGTTTTTATTTTGTAAATCTAACCTTACCTCAACTTTATTGCTTCGTTAGTGGCTGTGACAGCCATTCGTCAAACCTTTAACACAGCTATTAAAGTAGAAACATCATGTCGCGAGTTATGATTGTTGTCCCTTGGCTGAGAGCCACACGGATCATCTTACATTAATCTAAGGCATTAGAATATATTGACAGGCACAAATTTAAAGCAAGTACTCAACGCTACATAAGATAAAGTCCTATTTTTAGTAATCGGAGTTTCATTATAACACGACCTGTCACTATTAACGGCCAGAAACAAACAAACGCTAGTAGCCACTTCATGACAGAGATAGGGAAATAAAACAAAACTCCGTCATTATTATTGTGGGCATTACAGGGATATAGGTCATACAGGGATATAATAATAAACTTACCAGGTGTTTTTGTCTAACAATCCACAAAACACTTCCAACATCACACATGCAGTTAAGCAGCTCGGAAAAAACGCCTGTCTTAACTTAAAAAGCTTGGTCAAATTAAGTTCCTACAAAAAGCACTGTGTCTGTTCCGGTCTCCTTTTGGGGTTTTTTCCCTCCTAAGCCAGCGTAGGTGCCGTGTGCATTTGTTGACACTGCCGAATGCGCTTCGCCTCTGTTCCAGCTTGGCAGCTTTTACACCTCCCGCTCAAAACTGAGCTCCAGCGCAAAATAAATAGTCCATTATAGTTTAACTTTGATTAATAACAATCGATTGAAGCGCGTCTTCAGTGTGGTATAATTTCCCATCAAGTCTTTTTTCACCCAAATAATTCTTCCTCATCTCCTGACTAAAACGACCCGCTCTCGTTTTTTTTCACCGTTACAGTGCAGCAAAGTCAGATATCCCTCTCTACGTGCTAGCACGCTAAGCTAGTAGGCTAGCTGCTAAAGAAGTACAAGCTGGCAAAGCTGGCCAAATGGCTAACGTCTCCCCTCCGCGGTCTTTTTTCCACGTACTCCTCGCCTTAAGTCCGTTCGTGCACTCCAGTTAAATCAATTTAAATATTTTGAGGCTACAATTACCTGTGTTTCCGTTGAAATAACACGACTCCTTCTCTAAAAGCGCAGTTTTTGAGCGCTTGGTCCCCCCCCCCCCTCTCGTCTCGGAACAGCTTTCTACATTCGCAGCATCCTCTACCCGCAGCTGTCGAGGCAATCGCTGTTCACTCGAAAATGGCGCCGAAAGACTTGTCTCATTCAAATTCGATAGAGCCTTCCATTCGCCCTATTGGCCAAATACAGTGTCGAGTCTGCCTGCTGATTGGCTGCTGAAAATGCACTCTCGAATGATCTCGCAGCCCACCGCAGCGATCAACAAATTAACTCTTCAGGCCTCGCAGTGTCTTTTACGGCAGCAACTAACGGGAAACCCTTTTCGTTCAAACTAGTTCATACGAGGATTTCTGATATGACACGAATACTCTTAGTAGAGACTGCGCACTATTTACAAAACATTGCAGTCTGTCTAAATACATAGTAAAAGTGTGAATAAAAGAGTGTGTGTAAAAAAAAATCAACAGAATACAAGCTGGCCTATATTCATAGAATAAAATCTATATCGTTAGAAATACACACATAATGTGTCCTACCAGGCATGATTGTACACGAATAAACATTTACTGAGAGCTACAGTTATTTACACCTGCAACTATATCCATTTGTACTGGCTAGACTGAGCAAATTCAGTCCATAGTGACCCACAACAAAATAGCAAGGATGTTGCACTTATGCTTGGGGTTACAATAGTTTGCTCTTTTCCAACTCACTGATTATTTCTTCTTAAGGCTTTTGCCAGTGTATAAGCAATCTTTCTAATTATACTTGCCATAGAATATTGTATATAGGAGGATTGATCCCATGCAGAGTATGTAAAAGCATCTTCCTACTGATGCATAAGAATTTGAAATACTTCTCTACTTCTTTTCTCCCATGCTTCTCTTACCATCTTTCATATAAGCACTATGAATGTCTATTCAAATTCGGTTAGTCATTTATAGGATGGCGTGGTTATCTGTCGTTAGCACTAAAATGCTTGCCTTGGAGTGACAGGCCTATCAAAGACAAGAATAGCCAAATTAAGCATACTGTAGACAGAAGTCTAACATCTGTGTTATAGGTCAACAAGTAACAGTCCTGAGGCTATGGAGATGCAAACCAAATAATGTTAATGTAACAATGAGCAAAAAAGAAAAGCACTGACTGAGTAAGGTAACACAGGCTCAGACAGCAGTTAAAATCCTCCTTCCTAACTCTTTTCAGTCACACTCTGAGGTTGGCTTTGTTTTATTTTCCACAGTTCAAACATTGCTTTCTTATCTTAAATTGCTGTGACATCATATTGCTGTGCCTAATTTTAATTAACTTTCCTTTTTAGCGAGGCTACACTTTTCTTTTTAACTATTCACTGATTTATTTCCACGCCTTTTAAAGTGGGCTTGGACATTTCTGTTAAAATAACACCTTCCATAAGTAAGTAATGGGATAACCGTTTTCTCTCAATTTAGGATTATATTGGCAACACTATATAACTACACGTACCATTGTAGTATACATGCGGTAGCCAAAGCACGTACGGGTTGGGCTCTACTACAATAACCCCACTGTTATCACATCTACTGTAGCATAGTGTACCTCAGGCAAGATAAACAGAGACAGCCATTTCATCCCAATGCACACATAATAACAACACATAGCATTCACCTGCTATATTAGCAGTTGGTTCCACTGGAA